ATTCCGCTGAAGAGAGAATGTGGATATAAATCGATTCATTTGGAAAGAGTTCCGCTCAGCTGTTTAGTAGTGGAAGTACTTAAAATCCCTATGTGGAAAAAACATCACTGGAATCAATGCAGGCTACCCATTTTCCCTAGACCAGATTGGGTCGCAGCCAAAGCACTTAAGTTTTTTAAAAGGAAAATCGCACAAATAAAATGTCCTGAAAAAGAGGTTGGGGGAGTTATTCATTCTTAACCCTCTTTACTTAGCCAAACACACTGAAACTGCTTTTAAATCGCAATCAGTGGAAGTGCTTAGTTTAAGGCTGGATTTTAGTCAAGGTCATTGCTTTTTCACCGGTTAATAGATGAATAAATCGGATCTAAACAGCTCACTCAAAACAAATTCACACTAAAAAAGGAGGAACCTCTTCGATCAGTGGAAACATCCAAAGCCGAATAACAATTGCTAATAACCAAGTCGGGAGCGGATATTTTAGAATGGTGGGGAGACATCAGGTAAATGGGCACTCTGCCCCCCAATTCCAGATGTTTCTTTCTGACCCAATCGCTATCAACTGGATCAATTTCAGTGGGTAACCAAGACTATTTCCTAAAGGGCAAGCGTTCTGTTTTTTATTTGGACCACAGCCACAGTGTTCTCCAGCAAAGTTTTCGTTTATGCAGACATCCACTGAAGCTGAATGTTGAAGGGCTTCTTAATGAACAGGGCGGGAAAGTGGTTCTGAAGTAAGATGATAAACAGCACCGGACTTTCTGCAACGATTATTGCAATCCTCCATCTGCACGGGTATGCTGATTCCTCCTGGAAAACTCAAATTTGTGTTGATCTTGACAACTTTGTGTTTGTTGTTTTTATCTGAATAATTGCCATGGGTACTAAAGTCCCCCCGCCCCCCAAATCTCATTGACATTGTGTATGCGAGGATAGGAAAACTTTGCAGTAATAGGCACAATAGGAAAAGCAAATCAGTCTCCTTCAGGATCTGAAATCCACAACTACATTTTTTGATTGGCAGAATCGAGAATGCCAGGGCAGGCATACTTTGGAGATAAGCAAAATCCACCAGGTCCTATAAGATCCTTTCGATTCAGATATATATTCATCACACAGATAATCAGCATAAACATTTTTTAAAATCCAGTCAGAGGTGCCAAAAATGTCAGCTGCACATGGGCAAGGTATATTTACAGGTGATAACTGGGTCAGACATGCTCTAATTAAAATGTAATTAAGTGAATTTCAAAGACACCGACTCCTTGTTCAGTGGTACATTTTTTTTTAAAAAAGAGCTTGGATCCTTTTACCTAGAGAGTTGTTTTGTTGTTAATTGTCAAGTTGGTCAGATTAGCTTCAGACCTGCTATTCACAAGCTGTTTCTCACTACCAGTAGGTGAGAAAGCCACACAGTTTAGTTAGAGAGTCTAGGCCTGGTACTCCTTCCTTAATCCCCCCCCCCCCCCCCCAGGAAGATGCTCTGCAGCTGGCTCAGAATCAGCAAGACTAAGTTAGGTAACTTTTCTTGGGCTTTGCCTCTGGGGAGTCCCGCTGCGCCCCCAAGGGAAGACTCAGCTGCGTGATTCATCAAGAGCTAAATAATTCCTCCTCCTCTGATCAGGATCAATAGAGAACTACAGAGAGAACTGCGCTTTCAACCCAGTCTTATAAAATTCTCTCTGTGAGATAGGAAAAGTGAGGGAAGCTGGGAGGAAAAGAAAAGGATGAAGAATTCAAAATCCAGATGCAGTCGGGTCATTTTCATTCTTTCAGGTTCTCTGATTTAGTTCTCCTAGTCACAGTATCTTTGGGAAACTATCTCTTGTTTAAAAAATAAGTGATGGAATATCAACAAATGCATCTATTTATTCAACTCAGACTCCCCTCCCTCCAAATCAATTCCACCCCTGAAGGACGCTCAAATCCGCCCTCCCATCATTTCTTCAGCGAGGCCTCTCCCCAATCTCTTTCCTTAAAAACGGGTAAGCTCCCCTCAGCTTGGGCAAAGGAGAAGGGCTCGGGTAAAGAGCTTCCTTTCATCCAGAGGAAGAGGCACCGTGCCCCCATCCCCAGGAAGGATGAGGGTCTTTCCAGAACACAGCAGTTCACCAATAAGCACGCCGTTTTTGTTCGTTTTCCCCCCCTCTGCCTACGGTGTAGCCTGGCTCATAGACCTGTCTATGATCTTTTCTTGGGTGCCTTTTTCCCCCCTGGATCTTCCCCGCCACCATCTCTCAGGGGACAAAGAAGAGGCTTCTTGCTGGAAAGAAGCTTTACTCAGGGGCAGATTTTTTTCAAGGAACGTTGCGTCAAGATCGGGAAACCCTGCCTTATATGGGGACACAATATCTGGCTTAGTCGATTGCCGGTAGTTGGTGAGCGCTGCTAACTGTCTGCTGGTGCACAAATTCACAAGGTGGCAGAAAGTTAACAAGACATTTGAACTGAGTTCCCCTACACCGAAACCTTAGCAGGGCACAAATCCTGCAGAGGACCCACTTCACACGTTTCTTAATGGCAGTGCAAATAGGTAACTTTTTGTGTTCCTAAGTCCACCCAACGGTCTTACGCGTAGCCGTAAAACCATTGTGCCCCATTCCGCTGGGTCTCCTAATCCCACCCGGACATCATTTTGTGATAATTCCCGTGGGAAAGCCTTACACCAGATCACTGGCTATAGGCCTCCTAGAGACCGCGACTTTTTCCCGAATCTGCCCACTTTGTCGAGCAACTAGGGCGGCATAATGGGAATGTGCCACCTCCTCTACCTTGCCCGACTCGACGATTCTCCTTTTTCACCGAAATGAATGTACAGTAAAAGAAGTTGCTGGGAGTCCTGCTTTTTTGATTCTGACCAAAACTCCTTCGTGAATGGATCCTAAGCCTAAACTCTGCCGCTCAAATAACATTTCAAAGCGCAGACGGATCAGATTTAAGTCACCCAAATAGCATTCCCCTATAAAGTATAAAGTAAACGGGGGGCGGGTATTTTGTGCAGCGAGCTTAGATGGCGCTGAAACATTTCTCTGCAGCCGGACTGATTTATCCTACAAACTCTACTCTCTCATCCCCAATCGGTTATTTGAAAAAAGCATTTCCTTTCAGATGATACTTCTCACTTTTAAAAAAAGTAATATCACTAAGAGAACCGCGGACTTCACTTCCCGGGCTGCCCTTTAACTCTGGAGAGTACCCGAAGTTATTCCTGGCAGTCTTTTTTTTAACCGCACACTGACAGATGGCCACTCATTTCTGACTCCCAATGTATTTATTTCCAAGAAAATCCCCCTATTTTAGGCGGGATTTCTTCCTTAAAACTCCTGAGACCGACCTGGTTCAAAGCGGCCGGCTCTGATCGGCCTAACGGCCAGGGCAACAGGCCAGGAGAGTCAGAGGTGAGCCGACTACATCGAGGGGAGAGGCATTCTCTGGGAACAAGCCGGCGGGCAGCTTTTGGAGCCAGCCATTCCCAAGGTTTGAGAAACCTGCGGGTCACACATGCAACCGCTCCGAAGCCGAGGCAAATCGATGCCGTTTCCTCCCTAGCGATTTGATAACGTTTCCTAACCACGGTCGCCGCGAGAATGAAGCTCGGTGTTGTTAGTGCAGCAACTCAGCGATGGTTGAATAAAAGGCTAAAACTGCTTCCATTTCTTCTCGTCAAGAAATGGCAAAAGATTTTGAAAGGGTTCAGTGAGAAGCATGGGGGTGGGGGAATGGAAGAAAGGCAAATTGAGGGGAGCAAGGAAGGGCCTGCGAGACAAGCCCCTCAAAGCTCTGCTTGACGGCTCGAGCTGATGCCTGGAAAAAGTCTCCCGCTCCGGCTGGGTCTGCGATTTGCAGCAGAAGGGCGTGGATGGGTGGGAAGCAGCTTCTCTTGGCGGATCAGGAGTGTTTCCAAAAAGAGGTTTTCCGAGAACTGAGCGGCCACCCGTCAGCCTTGGGCCTACCACACCCCAGCCGAGGGTCGCTGAGGCAGCAAAGCCTTCGGCGCCACTCACGCTGCACGCTTCAAGGGCGGACTTAAGGGCCCTCTCGCCAGAGCCGCTCACTTTTTGCCCTCCTTCCCTTCCCAGCTCGGCCACCGATCCCAGCCCGGGGAGAGTGGCTGTCTTTCTTCAGAAACTTTTCGGAGGGGCACTTCGAATCAGCCAGCTATTTCGGGCGAGCGCGCGGAATCGCGGACTCGCCCGGGAAAGAGGCCGCGCGCCTGGAAGCTTTGCGGCCTGATCACCAAATGCTGCGCATGCTTACTTGGAAGTAAGTCTCTGGTGCCCGCCAATAATTTTCCCCGCACAAACGAGGACCATTAAAACTTCGACTGTGGGACGCGACCGGGTGGGTCCGCTGGAAGCTTCCTCTACCCTTGCTATCCCTGAGCTGAAGGTGGTTTGCATTCCCTACGCCCGTTTTTCTTGGATTTTACGCGGCCTCTCACGGGGCTAGAGGAGCCTTTACAACCCGAGAAAAAAGCCCCCCGCCCCCGCCCCCCCCTCTCAGTTGGCTCCTCGTTGTCGTTTCACGCCTCGCCACAAAATGTGAAAAAGTAGGGACATAAATTTGCGCTTCCGGTTAGGCGAAGTCAGAATGGAGTAATTATTAAACCGGTCTGGATTCCTGAACGAAAGGAAATAAGGGAAACTACGTTCATGAGAATGAGTCCTAATAATAGATATTTGTTCCTGCTGACCGGCAGGGACCGCGATACCCAAGCTCTGGAATGGGCAGATTTTCCCCTTCAAACGCATCGTTTTAAAAACAGAGCAGCATCGTTTCCGCAAGCGGGTTTCGGCTTTAATCCTGTTTCTCCGTCTACCCCGCCCGGAAAACGCCGTGTCACGCGTGGGTGTACACGTGCGTGTCTTAAGAAGTCGGGTTCCTGGATCTATGCTTAAGCTGTCAGGCGAGCATTTGTTCCGCAGGGACCCGAAAGGGAGGGCCAAAGAACAATCTGCCGAAACGCGCGGCCGGCGGGAAACCGCAGCTCCGACACTTACCGTCCGGCTGCTGAGTGTCACTGCCGCTGGTCAGTCCCGGCGACTCCAGGAGACTCCGGCCGCTTTCCCCGACGCTCTCGTCTGTCTGAGCCGCCACCAAATCGCCGGCTTCCTCCAGATCCAACAGGTGGCTGACCGAGAAGTTCTTCTTAGCCTGCAGGCTGTCGAGGTTGCCGGGGCTCTCCAGGCGCGTGGCTAGGACGGCCGGCTGTCTCTCCAGGACGTGCCCGTAGCTGGAAGTCATGGCTTTGCCTCCCCCGGCCGAGTAGGAGGAGGGCAGCCAAGGCAGAAGAGGACGGACTGAGTCTCGGACGAAAGCCCGCCAGACACTGTTGTTTTCCGGCTCCAGGTGGGGAAGCCGCGCGGAGCGGCCCAAAGCTGGCAGTCTCAGCCACGTCCTCGGCCTCCTCAGTCCCAGCAAAACTCGCCTGAAGCGTGAACTCCGTCGCCCGCCTGCGTCTCCCTAGCCGGCCGCGCTCCTTGAGGCGGGAGGTGTTGCCAAGGCTTTCCCGCCGACTTTAGCGGCGCAGCGGAGCTCCTCGCCCGCGAGCTGAGGGCTGCTGGGGGAAGTGCGCTAGCTCCGCGCAGCTTAGCGCTGGGCTTCCCGACCAAGCGACCCTCTTGCCGCTTGTAACGGCGCAGCCTGGCAAGCCGGCGGGTGAGGGAGCTCCAGGGGCCTCGGGAGGGCAGAGCCAGACTTAACGGGAGCCTCTAATTACGTGGCAAAGGCTTTGTGCTGTTTCTGACGTTTCACAGACCTCCTTCCTTCCCCCGCCCCCGCCGCCTCCCCCTTCCATTCCGGCCTCGGCGAACCCACCCTCGCATTGAGGGATCCACTCCCCTCCCTCGCTAGCCGGAACCCCGCGCGCGCGTGCCCATTTCCCCGCAAAGAGCCAAGTATTCCTCCCCTCACCCCCCCCCACCCCGCCGCCGCCGCCGCAAGAGTCGAAAGCTGGGAAGCCCAAGCGGACGCCGGAGATGACTCCCAAGCCCGGCTGCTTATTTGCTTTGCTAATTAACGGCTGAGGAGGATTAGTTGAAGGTCCTGCCGGAGAATCTCATTTGCATGGCGGGCGGGCGGCAGGCTCTTCAGGAAACCATCCCGGGAGTGGCTAATCACCTTCGCTTGCTTCTCTTCTATTTTCCCTTCTTGCCCCCAAGTGTTGCTTCGGGCCGCTAAAACAAATGAGAGGAAAATAGAGCAGCGCGTACGGGTGTTTTGTTTTTTGACCTAACCGATGGGGTAAATACAATGCAGGGTTACGTACTGGAGTGCGTCCCGACATGAATGGCTCCGTGAGAAGCTCTTGTTTTCGGCCTTTTGCTCAGCTGCCTTTTAGAATGGACCTCAGACTGGCCCTTGGCTCACACATTGTGATTTGGTCTCTCCACAGCCCCCGCCTTAAAATAGCCCTGTATACAGCAAATGGCAGCACCCTGCTGATCTGTACTAACCTTGAGAAAGATACTATAGGTAAGAATGCCCTGATTGGAGCTTCGATGGGAGACCACTAGGAAATCTCAGGGTTCTAAGAAAAAAGGAAGAAAGGACAACAAATTGCCAAGAAAGCTACACAGAAATCACACTAGGCTCAAGTCTTTACCTTTATGTTGCCACTTTGTTTGCCATATTAAAATTTGTTTCCCTTGTTTAAACCAAGACAGTTTCAAGATTAGTAACATCTATAATGCAACCAGTACTCTGGAGGTAAGCTCAGATAACCAACTGTGGTTCTGACCAAGAGAGGTGAGTCTGAGGTATGTTGGCAGCATGTGGGCCCACTTCCTCCCCTCTGATCACTTGTCTGTGGGCAGCTCCCACTGCAACTCTTTCTTGGCAGCCTTTGTCCTTTCCCCTAGCCCTTGGTTTCCGGAGTTGCTTTCATATCCGTTTCCTATTGCCTCCCTGTTTTTAAATGCCAACTTTTCTTCTGGTTTCTCACCAAGCAGGAAAGGAAAAGGCAGAAAAAAAGAAGGTGGTCTATTTTATTTACAAAAAGAAGATGCTATTTTGACAACTTTGCATTTGCACAGTTGTGAAACTGGTGAGAGCCAACAGCCTTGCTTTTCCTCTCTGCAACATCCTGAGTGTAATGAAGGATATTTAAATGGGGATGTGTTGATTCTTTTCATGTTTCCTATAACTATCAGTTTTAATCTTTTTTCCATATGAAGAGATCTGGTTGCCCCTTGACTAGTTAATGTTACTCTCTCCCTAGAGGACCTAGTGCACCAATTATGACAGGGCTTATCTCCTCTCTTGTGTTTCTGTCCTGGTGTCTTCTTGTAATGTATGGTCTCTGGATTCTCTGGCCAAATTAGAGTCTTGTTGGCACTGCATACTTAAGTACTTTTCAAAGATACCACTCTATGATTTGAAGTCATCTTCCTATGTGTTTAATTTCCTATTATATTTGACTTGTGACATGGCCAAGTAGAGTGGATCTCTTCCTGCTGGCTAGTAAGACAGACCAGAGCAATATAGAAAACCAATAAATTTGCATAAAACAATGGTAGCTCTGCAAATCTGAACCGAACCATGAGTGGCAGGAAGTCGCAACAGAAGTGGGTTAGGGATTTGCCCTTTTGTGAGGGTATTGTTTTGTGTTGATACAAAGGAAGAGGTGTCAACAGCACCAATTTACCCAAAGCTTAACTCCTATCACTTTCAGTAAAAGAGACTCATCCGCGCAATCAGTGGTGATAAAAACAAGCTGAATTTTTGTTAGATCATATCAGTAAACCATGTAAAATATTTTCTTCTGCAGGGCATTTCTTTCTCTTTGTCCTAGATATAAATGTTGACATGCATTATGCATTACAAAGGCCTGTTCTATTGCAGGAGAAACTCTCCCGGTGCCCACAACAGAACAGGAACACCCTTCGTCTTCTCCAGCAGTTGTCACTAAGAAATGTCTTAGCTTTTATTACTGCAGGAGTCATACGCCCATCATCGGTAGCGGAGGGAGCTTTATCTTCAACCTTTTATCTAAGCCATTTTAAACATTTAAATGTGTGGCATTTCCTAGAGTTTCTGAGGCACTCGGAGTACAATTTTCTTCACTCCTTTTCAGGATTAGGTCAGTCTTGCTATTTAGGGATGTGGTGCTTTTGTGAAGGAAATCCCCAAACTAGTCATAGATAGATTTGGGGGACAATCCATACCTTTGGACAACAACAATGAGAAACTCAGGAAAACCAAATCAACCGCAGCTACCCCCCCACAAAATACACCTGTCCAAATCTAAAGGCCAGGGGATCAGGGAACAATTTACAGGTAAAGACAGGATCCCCCACATTTCTCCAGGCTACCCTTCTGAAGGAAAACTGTCGGGGGGGGGGGGGGGGGGGGGGGGGGGGAGAAGGCTGTTTCATGATTGTTGCAACACCCCTAATTGGAAATCCCCTGCCCAGAGGTTTGCTTTGAGGGTATTCGGAAAGGCCTAGCTATTTATGGTGATCCTTTTATTGATTTTTTTTTTTAAACAGAAGCATTTTAAAGAGTTTCTGACCCAACTGCCAGAAGAGCCTGGAATGCTCGGCTGTACTTTGATTACTGGGAGGACTGTGGGGGAATTGTACTGCTCTATTTCAGGTATCCAATACTTACTTTGCCTGAACCCAGAATCAGCTCCCATGTTCAAGCTCAAAAGAGGCATTCTAGAACAAAGGTTTTCCATTTTGACCATGAGGCTGTGAGAATCATATGCAAATATGTTGATAGAACTGAAGGAGTAGCAGTATTAGGAATATTTTAAAGTGAGACAAAATCCAGTCCCTTCATTTTTGGCCAAGGAATAAGCTAACAGATAACAGAAGAAAATGCAGATTGTTAATTTGTGTTCATGCCTAACATGTGTTTTCACACAAACGGAAGATACAGACCACAACCCATTAATTATTGCATCATATAGTTTTTGTGTGCCTGTCCGTATATTAAATTAATGGCTGATTTGCCTGAAGTTGCTCTATTGCCTAGTCAATTTTTACCTAGCAAGAAACTAGGCCTTGCATAGCAGGTCTACCAGCAACAAAAGAGCTGCAACCATTTCTGATTCTGCGGTGGATGGTTTTGTATAGCATGTGTTTCCACCAAAAAAAGATCTTCATCACACTTAGTAATGCAACATTAGAATTGCAGAGAGTTCTCATTTGATCTCCCATCTCATCAAACTAAATGCTTTTTTATAAAGACAATTTCTTAAATAGGGAGCCCCAAAACAATGTGGACTTGTCCCAAACAGAGATTTTTTATTGTTAAAAATGCAGGTAAAACATGGACCTTCTTTCAGCGGGTTTGAGTGCTCGCTGCATGGGGAGAGTAACAGGACAGAGGGGGAGTGAGTGTGCTGTAAAGGTCAACCAATGGCAGGGAAAGAGAAGGGCCCCTGTGGTTCAGTGATAGGAGCCAGCCTGGGCTCAGAGCTGCCACAGGCAGGCCAAGATTTCCAACCCCCAACCCGATTTGGGAAAAGAACATCTGATGCCATCAAAGGCTGTGCAGATTGAAACCAGATGTGTTTCCCCTGGTTCTTGCCATGCATTTAATTAAGGAGCTCTGGATGGGGAGGAGGCTGCTTTATCCTGTCTTCTCTCTCATTCAGGCTGTGTTGGATGCTGCCAGGCTTTTACCAAATTAGGGACAAAATTTCTCCAGTGCTTCTTTCCACACTCAGAGCAGAGATACAGGCATCCATCCTGAAGGCAGGGTCTCCTTAAACACCAGAAAATTCTCCCAGATAACCTTGGATACGAAGCTCACCCCCTTCTCTTCTATGTATGTCCTCGTACAATGAATGTAAAGGAAATAGTAAAAATAAATTTGGGCATATGCAAAACATCTGATACTCATTGAGCATCTACAATTGGCCCCTGGCCTATAAATAAACCCCATGATGTCTTCCCAGGACAAATGGAAGGACTGTTGGTACTGCAGGGACTCAATCTAATCCAGCATCATCCCGTCTGCAGCAGTCACTAGCCAAATAGCCACTTTTCTTATGGGCCACTAACTGCTGCTGGGATTTTTGCAAAGAATGCTGATCTGAGTGAAATATAGACTGACTCGACCAATATCTTTTTTTTTAATTTAAGCGGGAGCACTTAAATACAATGGGGATAGTATCTCGGCAGGAACCAAGTATGCACCCTTACACATAATGTAACCCAGTAATATTAATCTTGTTGTTTTGCCATTTCCAGGGTTAGACTGTGTCCATGCCTATGTGACACTTACAAGATGTCCCTTCCTTTATGTAACTCTGGAGTACAGGGATGAGTCTCCACTGAATTTTCTTCTCAGGGTATCCTGGTCTTTTTTCCTCTACTATTTTTATTCACTGAAGACAATATCCAGTATATGGCAATGGAAATCCAAATTATTAAGCTAAGTCTTAGGATAATGTTTTAACAGACACAGTATCAGCTTCAATTAAACATTAAATGAAAATGTTAACCATTTCAAATACTATATCACATTTTGGATAGTTCCTCTTTGATAGGTGCATAATCTGAAGGTCCTTCTGGATCCACAACTGTTGGAAGAGCAAATGGCTGTCATGGGTTGGAGGGCCTCTGCACATCTTTGAACCGTGTGTGGGTTGTGCCCATTTCTGAATCAGGAGGCTCTATGGTCAGTCATTCATGCCTTGGTCACCCCCCATATGTACTACTGTAATGCAC